TGTCATTGCGTTGGGGCCGAGGGAACAGAGCGAGCAGCATGTCATGTCTGACGTGCACACAGGGTGACTCTATTTCTCTTTCTCCAGGCTGCAGTTCTTTGATGTGTCTTCAGTTGGCTGACCTGCGCTGGACGCTGCGGCGTTCATTCCTGCAGAAATAGATGAATACAGAGGACTGAAGGACAATGAGAGACAACGGGAAGTGACACGGGTTGACGGTGCAGCCATGTACGTGTTGTTTCCTCGGAGAAAATAAGAAAAGAAGTGCTTCGTGTTCTGCTGCTTGGAAACAAGGTGAATGATTTAAACCCAGTTCTCTGCTTTTGCAGTAGAACTGACGCAGGTCAGGAAGACAGAGTGGGATTCCGTACTGTGTTTGATTATCTTTACGTGATCGCTTCACACCAAGATTCACACCAAAAGTAACTTGCATACATACATACATACATACATACATATATATATATATATATATATATATATATATATACATATATATATATAGTGAATGCATTTTTATGCAAGCAAACTTAACTGTCTTATAAAACGTTATGCTATTGAATGGTGCGGTACTGAATGCTATGCTATGCTATGCTATGCTATGCTATGCTATGCTATGCTATGCTATGTTATAGGAAGAGGTATGCTTTATACTCTGTCACAAGTGACAGACATTTGCCTGGCATGCTTGTATAAGAAGATGTTTACAGTTTTTCTTGATTATAAATTGTTTCTTATATATTTAGTATAAATATATGCATATATGTGCATGTATTTATATATATATGTCTATATATACATATAGACATATATATATATATATTGCAATTGCATTAGGGATTACAGTTTTTCTTGATTATAAATTGTTTCTTATATATTTAGTATAAATATATGCATATATGTGCATGTATTTATATATATATGTCTATATATACATATAGACATATATATATATATATTGCAATTGCATTAGGGATTACAGTTTTTCTTGATTATAAATTGTTTCTTATATATTTAGTATAAATATATGCATATATGTGCATGTATTTATATATATATGTCTATATATACATATAGACATATATATATATATATTGCAATTGCATTAGGGATTACAGTTTTTCTTGATTATAAATTGTTTCTTATATATTTAGTATAAATATATGCATATATGTGCATGTATTTATATATATATGTCTATATATACATATAGACATATATATATATATATTGCAATTGCATTAGGGATTACAGTTTTTCTTGATTATAAATTGTTTCTTATATATTTAGTATAAATATATGCATATATGTGCATGTATTTATATATATATGTCTATATATACATATAGACATATATATATATATATTGCAATTGCATTAGGGATTACAGTTTTTCTTGATTATAAATTGTTTCTTATATATTTAGTATAAATATATGCATATATGTGCATGTATTTATATATATATGTCTATATATACATATAGACATATATATATATATATTGCAATTGCATTAGGGATTACAGTTTTTCTTGATTATAAATTGTTTCTTATATATTTAGTATAAATATATGCATATATGTGCATGTATTTATATATATATGTCTATATATACATATAGACATATATATATATATATTGCAATTGCATTAGGGATTACAGTTTTTCTTGATTATAAATTGTTTCTTATATATTTAGTATAAATATATGCATATATGTGCATGTATTTATATATATATGTCTATATATACATATAGACATATATATATATATATTGCAATTGCATTAGGGATTACAGTTTTTCTTGATTATAAATTGTTTCTTATATATTTAGTATAAATATATGCATATATGTGCATGTATTTATATATATGTATATATAAATATATATACATATATATATGAATCCTCACATAAAATAGAGGACATTTAAAACAAACTGTAATCCCTATTGCAATTGCGATAGGTATCAGTACTAAAAACAACACTGAACTGGGCATATTTCATTTAGCGGCTAAAGTATTAGTCATCTGTAATTTTTTGGTATTAAACAACAATATGAATCGTTTTTGCAAATGTGAGATTGGAGCAGATGATTTAAGTAAAAAAAGAAAAAAAAAAACTTTCTCTTAATCCTGAGCTGCTCATCGTCTTTGACCTGAAACATCTGCCTGGAGGACACAGATGACGTGCACGAGGTCTTCGGAGGTACCGTCCTCCACAGAGGGCAGTGGACGGCCTGTAATTTCCTCCACTCTCCGCGCCTTCATTACCAAGCGTGTGAAGAGTATGGACGGCTCTCTGTGACCAGCCGTTCACCCCCTTTTATAGTTAATTGTTTGGCCCGAGCTGAAAAGGCTGACCTCTGGTTTTTGTCGTTTAATGTAATGTATTTGGCACAGAGAGGAGAGAGGAGAGAGTGTTCCTGCCAAGGCACTTAAACAAGGTGAGGTGTTTATACTAAAGGAGTAGTTCGACATGTGATGGGGAAAGAAATGTTGGTTGTTTTTTTTTGTGGTAATTTGAAATTACCACAAAAAATTCAAAGGAAAGTATTTTAAAATGAACTAGAAGTTAACTAGAATCTCAAAGCAGTGGTTGTCCACATGTGTTTATATGGACACCACAGCTAAGTGAAGCTACGACTGGTCAGAGCGAATGAACATGCAGGAATAGATCAAATTATTTTCTGATGGCAAAAAAAAAAAAAAAACAGTTCATGTTTGTTCTTTCTTTGACTCGAACAAAACAAATATTAGAAATTAAAAATGTCGCTTTTTAGGTCAAATATTGCCATTTGATTAAACAGGTAATGTCGTTATTTAGCTCCTGTAGTGTCTAAAAAGTTCATAGAAGGGTTTAGTATATTTAACTTATAGTACTCTTTCCATATAAATCTCTACTGGTCTGGTTTGTTTATTTTAAATGACGTACTAACTCAACGTGAACTTGTGCGTCCTAATGGGCCTGGAGTGCTCCGTTAGAAGCTTCGGGGGTCAAAAGGTCTTGGGAGGATGGGAGGGTCGTCACCGTCTGTTCCTCTGCAGTGGAAAACTTCCACCTCTGCTCAGTCGCTCCTGAAGCCACGCCCCCCCTAATCAGGACAACTGCTTCCACCTGCTCAGCCAGTACATATACAACTCCACTCCTTTCAGTCTTGTTTCATGACTGCTTCTCTGAGCCTGACCTTTGACCTTTGCCATGTCTCTACCCTGGTAAACCCGTCGGCCTTCTGGGGACTACCTAAGGTGCCCGCGGGGTATGTACTAAAAAAAAAAAAAAACTAGTCAAAAAAGAGGGTCAAAGATTGTACTGTTACTGTGCTTTTTGAATCAGTTCCACTTGTAATGATATTCAAATGGGTGCAATGACGCCGGTAAGAACAGAGTCTACTGTTGTGTGTATCAGACAAGTACACTCTTTGCGTCACTAAGTGTCCTTGAAGTAGCTCTCAGTTTCCAAAAAGGTCGGTGACCCCTGCTGCAATGAGCCCCGTTAGCTTCGATAAAAGCCCGTTTAAGACCAAGTCCTTGCTTTGCAAGTCATAAGTGAGTCTCAAGTCTTTGCACTCGAGTCCGAGTCTAGTCTCAAGTCAAGACAGGCAAAGTCCGAGTCGAGTTCCAAGTCTCTTTACATTTGGTCAAGTCGAAAGTCTAAAGTCATCAAATTGATGACTCGAGTCCAAGTCATGTGACTCGAGTCCACACCTCTGCCCAGTCGCGGTGCTAGCTGCCTGATTTGTTATTTTATCCTTTTTAATCGGCTTTTTCGTATCAAATTAAATCAGAATCGGCGGTGATTTTTTTTTCATCCTCGCATCATCGGCATCTATAGGGATACATTTTATAAATTTTTTTTTTTAGGTAAATATTCTTTACCAAAGCCTGTGTCTTCGCTCATGAAGTAAAACGTTCCGTCTTCGTTATGACTCCAGTGTCCTCCTCTCTGTCGATCATGTACTGTTGCCCACCGTTCATCTTACCTAGCTATTTGTGTGCCCTCCCCTATAATGTAATTTCTGCCTACACTGCAGGTGTACGAAAATAATATTTACCCAGGCAGAAAGTCTACAAACGGTGCTCACGGCGATATATACATTGTTTGTTTATCTCAACAGTGATGAATTCCACCGTCTCAACCAGCGCAAATGTTTCTCTTTAGCTTTTCAAATTCTACTTTTAGTGCAATTATTTTTGCAGCCAGCCTTACAGCTGAGGGCTGGTAATGCTCCAGATGGGAACAGCTGTGAGGTGTGCTGCACAGTGTGTCACCACTGAGTTTTTATAAATTATAAATATACATATATTTTTTTAAAGTAGGTCGCACAGCAGTTTGAGGAAAAGTCGCTCCAGTTCTATGTCAGGTTGCTCTCATGGACTTGATCGTCCGAAGGAGCTGGGACACTCGGAGCCAGAGGTGTGGACTCGAGTCTCATGACTTGGACTCGAGTCAGACTCGAGTCACCAATTTGATGAGTTTAGACTCGACTTGACAAAATGTAAAGAGACTTGCAACTCGACTTGGACTTCAACATCAATGACTCGTGACTTCACTTGGACTCGAGCCCTTTGACTCGACAAGACTTGATACTTTCTCCAAAACCCAAAGTGATCTGTGTAAAAATATTATTATTTTTGTTTAAAAGGACTCGAAACAGAAACGTAAGGACTTGGGACTTGACTTGACACTTTTTAGTCTTGACTTGAGACTTGACTCGGACTTGAGTGCAAAGACTTGAGACTTACTTATGACTTGCGAGGCAATGACTTGGTTCCCACCTCTGCTCTGGCCATAACAACGAGCTCCTCTACTACGGACCACTTCCTGTAAACCTACCCTCCATTTGGCAGCAGAGTTTTTCAAAGGCCTCCACGGTGGTGTCGTTGTCGTGCGGGAGCTCCTCTCCGGGGGCCACAGAGTCGGGGCTGGGCCGGTCTGAGAGGCAGCTCTCTGAGGAGCAGTCGTCTCCAGCTCCCTGCTGCTGCTGCCTGTAGAGGTGGTGCTCCACCAGGAAGTGCAGCTCTGAGAGGAGGAGGAGGAGGAAAAAGAAAAGGAAAAGGAGAGAGGAAGGACATAGATATGAGGGAGGAGGGAACATAAATTGTAAGAAGTACTCAAGAGATTAAGCGGGGGGAAAAAATAAAACGTTGTGAGATATGGGGCCAAGAGAGAAGGAGAAGTGTTTAGAAGTACTTGAATTCAGTTAGAGTAAGGGGAATAAGTTATTATACAGTAAAAGGAGAGCAGTGAAAATGTCTTTTCCCCTGCTGAGCAGTAAAACAAACGGAGAAAAATGTCTATAAACATTTCTGTTTGCCTTTTAATTTTTTTATCTTAGGTCCGATTTCCTGTATATCAGAGTAATGACTATTGCAGTATTGCAACTTTTATTTTGAAATTTCGGTCGAAACCGGAAGTTGGATGTCAGCCGTCAACATTTTTGTGATGGCTGTAAGGCTTTTTATAGGCATGGCGAAAAAATATTATAATTATTACTTTCAAAACTTTATACATGTATATATGTGCCTGAAGTTAACAATGTTGCAGTATGCGTGTTTGTGTGTTGAATTAGTTTGTTTTAAATGTCCCCTATTTCATGTGGTGATTCATAAATACATATAAATACATACACATATATGTATATATTTTTACTAAATATATAAGAAACAATATATAAACAAGAGAAAAATTATATAAATATTAATATACACACATATTATATATATATAAAATTATATATATTTATATTATATTTATAGTATTTTTTTCTTGTATATACTTTTTTAGCTACGCAAAATATAACCGCTCTGTATGCCACTAACTGGAGAAACCCATTTTCTTTATTTTAATAAACTGATTTGAGTCATGTGAAGCAATATCACCTAGCTCTGTTGTAAGAAAATATATTTCACAATGCCAGTGAGCGACATCAGGCTAATTCTTAATTAATCTGCTGCTTTTGATGGAACGTTACAAACACAAACCTTTCATCGTCGGCGTTCCCTTCTGTCCTTTCCTTCGTTGTCGGGGAGAGTTCAACAAGGCTGCCTGTGAAAACATCCTTGTTTATTTTTACAACTGGGTAAATTTGCTCAAGGACAAACAAATGAGTATAAAATTTGTATTACTAGATTTGGTATAATTACCTTGTACAGCTGGGTTGGAAGTCGATCTTCGTCTATTTCTAGAAAGGAAAAAAAAAAGGAAACGTAAAAAAAGAATATCAATTGTTATATCCTGATAAATAGCCTTTGGAGGATGCTCTTTTTAAACCCAGTGTTTAAACCAATAATATTATCAGTTACCATCATAACCCTCAAAGTTTCAGTTGGGTATGTTCATCACAGCTCTTTAAACAGAGGTGCGATCAGTAATTGTCATTGATACGTGTAAAAAAAAAAAAAAAAAAAAAAACTGAAATGGGATAAAAAAAAAAAAAAAAGTTTGACTGGGGCGAAATGAAAATATTGATTGATTTCCAATTCGCCGAAGTCCCTTTGAGCACTGTTTCATAGCCTTAGAACTTTTTTTTTTCTAGGACACCATCTTGTTGCTTGGCAACCGAAGCATCCCAACGGCAATAGCATATATTATCCCTGTAAAAGTGTGCAGCAGCTGAGTGTTTAAAATGCCTGTGATGTGCTTCCCCTTTATTCATCACCTTCACTCTGTAGCGGCCCAACACACATACCATACATAAAATACCCCCTCTCACTTTGGTAAACATTCATCTTTATAGCGCACATGTTTACTCGCAGGTTTGGAAGCAAATTGTATTTTTAGGACCTCCCAGCAGTACTGGAAGATAAATATGGCCAATATGGATCTGGCTAAAAATCAATTCTTCCAAAATGGGTCATTCAAGGCTTTCAAGCTACAGAGAGCTGCTTTTTACAAAGAGGTGAGATGTATCGAATGTTGTTCCTCAGAATTTAAGCCGAGTGCAAAATATCATCTGCAAAGAGTTTGACCTTTTGAGGCGCTAGCTTTAAAAAGTTTATTTTAAAGAGATCGAGAGCAGTAGATTAAATGTAGAAACACTGCATTATGTAATATTTTAAAAACATTATATATATACTGTATGTATATATATGTGTGTATATATGTGTGTATATATGTATATATATGTGTATATATATGTATATATGTATATATGTATGTATATATATGTATATATGTATATATATATA